CGCGCGCAACAATATGTGTTATTATTATAACACTTAGAATAGCTTCCATAGAAAGCCATATCGGTGCTAAGCAAGTATAAGCGAACAAGGGTCGATATTTTCGCTCACCGCGTGAGTTATACTGGCATTGGTGTATATCGGTATGTATGTCATATACTATGTGGCGTCGATATAATTATACACATAGTATATGTATATATGTAACAGGCAGATGTACGCATCTCGCGAGACCGCTGCTGTACCACTGATCTCTATATACGAACGTATTTAGTAGTAGGATATATAGAGATCAGTCTGCTGTACGGTTAATCCATTTCTGTCTCAAGTGACGCGCAGCCCTAGTATAATTTCGTAGCGCCCTCATCCGGATCAATTAGCGGACTACCAATGCGTGGGCTATGCGCTAGACGCAGTAACGCGCACGAGCAGTGCGGATGCGAGGATGCTCCCCTCGTTAGAATTGGGACTAATGTTACGCATCCAGCCGTTATCGCCGACAGACTGGAGAAATTGTTGATGCCACTGTATCCCGTGGCTGGGAGAGAAGGGCTGTTACCTCGTCTCCAATTCGTTTGCCAGCCAGATCCAAAATCGGGTACGGCTCACAAGGGAAGTAAAAATAGCTGTACATAGCAGGTCCGGCCGTTATATATGCAATAGTGTTGCTCGGTTTCGTCCTCGCATTGAGTACCTAAGCTGCCTTTTTTATTCTGACCTGCGCTCTAACAGCCTGTAAATGATCTTGCCCGCAAATATAGTTGGTGTCTTGAGTTATAGTTATTAGGTTACGCCTCCTGTATACTGTATATGCGATCGTTGCAGGATTAGACCTCTTCTAACGATAGTGAAGTTCGACAGATTAGAAAAAGCCCCCGTTGCGTGCGCGGTACCAAACCTACGAGGTAAACACTATCGAAACATTAAGGGAATCTTGAGACACGCACGCACCGCACATACGCCAGGTCATGTCCACGTCTTCCCGCAGTGAGCATAGCTCCCTTTTATATTTTATAATATATTATTTAAGCAGGACGCGCAGAACTTTGTAATAATCCTGGCATGACATTGCAGAAATTGATGCTGGGTACTGGTGTACGATAATATATATATATTATATATAGCTTGCGGTGCCTAGTGTTGTCAGGGCAGGGCTGGCTATTGGAAAATTTAACCAGACAAGTATAGCATATAACGCTAAGATAGATCATGTATCGCTAACGTGAATCGTGGATCGCGTGGTATATGCAGAGCAGTAAATATGTTCCCTAAATTGTAAACCATGTCAGGGGGAAGTAGGGTATATATTGATTTAAATTAATTTCAAGACTTCTGGGCGTATCAAGGAAAAAGCTGGAATCTCTAAGCATTATTGAATATCATGTGAGATCTTACAGCGATATTCCTCCAAGATCACGTCGTAAAAGCAAATTGGAATCTGGATTTGTTAACTGCTCATAGAAGACAATTACTAAAACCCGATGGTCGAAGTTCAACCGTCTATACATAATTGCTGCCGTGCGATTTCAGATACTATGCCGTAGAACTTAGGTGGTGGGGTACTGTAGCTGAGCTGCGCTCTCGAACGGCCTAGCCTATTCCCGGCGTGTCTTTCTACTGCTGCTGCTGCTGCTGCCCGAAAAGCAGATTCGAAGTACATCTGCTTGGCTTCGCGAGGATGGATACTGAGCAGCAGCTGACGGATGCTGCGCAGTCATCAAGTATCCTTCAGGTTAGCATGCGTCGTGACAGTCTGCGCAACGCGCGGGCGAATACATGTTATCAGGAGTAAATAATAATAGATTATATATTATCTATTATTAATAATGAATCTATTATTATTCACTCCTAATGTTATAATACTACACGTATATACCAGGCGAAAGCCGGCGTCATTATTCTATGGTATTGCAGGGATAATTTAGAACCTGAAGAAAGTTTATGTATTTTACTATTATGGTATAGGTGCTGGATGGCTTTCGAGGAGAGCGATTCCTTTGCGATGTAGTCCTTCATCTGACCGATAGGGAAGTCCCAGCACATAAGGCTGTCCTAGCTGCATTCAGTCCGTATTTTAGGTGTGTATCTGCATGTGCAAACCATGACTCGAACACACACTCGCGCGCGCATGAATGCACGCACGCACATACACAAAACGCATAAACATGCACACGCACGCGCACACACACGCACGTGCGCACACACATACACAGAGAGAGAGAGAGCGAGAAAGAAAGAAAGAGAGAGCGAGAGAGAGTGAGAGAGGGGTAGCGAAAAAGAGAGAGAGAGCGAGAGAGAGAGAGGGAGAGAGAGAGAGCGCGAGAGATGTAGGCCTACGCGTTCGTGCGCGGACAAAGAAATATTATGCTCTTATTGATCACTTATATCTCAGTGAGTCTCACTAGGTGTATAATTATGGTTTCATTGATCACGCATTATTATTCATTTTGTTCCAAATACTACTAATCTACAGCTATTTAATACTGCAACCTACAAGTATCTAGTACTATCTAATACTGCAATCTAGTTCTGCAATGCGGCAAAAACATTGTTTATTGCCCATCGAAATCATCTCGATTACGGCATACACCCCCTTGATTTAATCAAGAGTAATAACGTACGTAAATTGGCGTAAAGATGCTAAAAGGTGTCTACAAATATTAATTACTTCATGCGCCGTGTGTAACCGTCCCGCAACCATCCCGTTTGTTTATTATATAAGAGCGATGTTTTCGTGCGGGCTGGCAGAGAGCTCGAGCGGTGCGATCACAATGCGGCATATCGACTCACAGACTCTAGCCGACATTATACAATTCGCCTACTCTTCAACAATCAAGGTATACATATTGTTTTTAAAATATAAAGGTTAAAATACAGCCGATTAAACGTATACGTTGCAACGTGTTGTTAAATATAAAACATTATATGCTGTTGATAAGGTGTGGTTAATGTCTTTGCAAGTCGGCACGTCCGCATCTTGTAAGTGTCACAATTTAACTTTATAATTTAACAAATAACTATATGTGATCAAGAGCCTATTAACTGTAATTGATAGGTTCTTGGTGTGAGATGTGATCGCGTAACTATTTTCAACTTCGGAAACAAAGCCATCAAATCTACAAGAATGCTTTTAATAATCAGCGATGATGTTCGCTGTTATCAGTGATTCGCTGCGTGAGAGTTTGTATACGGTTCGTAGTGTCGATGACAGCTGTAGTACCCCTCGATCATATTATCAACATTGGCGTTTACGGCATTTTGTTAGCAACATTTGCACTTATCACGTGCACTATCAATGAAATCACGCGTGCTTCAACACTTCAGATAACAGATGAAAATATTCAATCGTTGCTGACGACTGCGGATATGCTACAGACTCCGAGCATTAAGAGCGCCTGCTGCAGCTACCTGTCCGCCAGACTACAGCCACACAACTGCCTTGGTATGTCACCAGCAGGCCCGCCCGTAGAGACCAATTAAATTAACAGTTATAACTCGCTTTTTGCATTCACGCCTAGTTTATTAAAAAATCATATAATTATTTCGTTTCATACGTGGCGACGGGTACAATGTCCTTTGACTGGGTCAGCCATGGTACTGTAGTTGCTAGTCTACACGTCTGCTGTACACGATCCTGAGTGGACCTATATAGCTTTTTGACAGGGTGACAGTTGAAGGCCGAGCCATGCTTACCTTTATATCTATGCCTGATAACATGGTAATATACCATGAGTATACGTGGCTCCATATATACGTATTAATGATATAGCGATATGCGACAGTCGGTTGCTACTTGAGGCTATAGAAAATAGTCCCGCCCACAGTATTGCGATTAGCCACAACTTTTCTCCGTACGACGATTGCGAATTTTTCTCTGCACAATGACAGCAAATATGTCAAGTTTTACTCACGAGTACAGCGTGATATACGTGAACTTCAGTGGGTGAGTGTGTATAGGTGACTATATAATTGTCGAATCAGTTAGCAAAATATATAGAGAATGGGACGTCAATCTGTAAAACTGTAAAAAACGTAAAAGTAAAAGCAAAAGTAAAATTATGCATGTACTGTGGTGAAACTTTTACTTCACAACCGTACGTGCCATGTACCTTTGTGTAATAGTACAGCGCATCGACGTGAAAGCAAATGGATAAACGTAAATCTGTTTCTTTTTTCGCAAAATGTTTTTTTCACAAACAACATACACAACTGTGCGGACAAAAAAGCCATTAAAGGGCCGGACACACTAGGCGATTAAATCGGGCGACAAAATCGCCGTGAAATCGCCTAGTGTGTCCACTCAATCGCTGCCGATTTAGTCGCCCGATTTAGTCGCCCGACTCTGTCGCCCGATTTCATCGCATAGATCAAAACGTTTTGATATTATCGGGCGATTTTGTCGCCCGATTTAATCGCCTAGTGTGTCCGGGGCCGGAGATAAAATCGCCCAATTGTACAATTCATCAGCCAATCAGAGTTGTTCAATGATACTGACGTAATAGCGATGTTTCATGTTTAGTATGTCATGTCATATGTGCGATGGTGCTAAATACTGCATTGGTCCTATTTGAATCATGTTTGAATAAGAAAGGTCGAATTAACCATTTATGAAATGCCAATTGTGCTTTGCCATGTTAATGTATGCAGGGATCCTGAAAATTGATCACTAGTAGTAGACCCCACAATTTCTTATCGATTTCTTACCACTTAGAGGAAAGAGGAGAGAGCGGGGAAAGGTTAAGGAGGGTGAAGGTAAGGGAGAAGGCAATTCTCCATGATTTTGAGGGATCAAGGTGGGCAATTTTATTTGATAATTTCTCTCGTTAAAGAAAGAATAGGTCTGATGATATATATTTTTATATTTCCTACCCACTAGAAAACTCCCCAGTACATCAAACTGTAAATCCCCGCTCACAAACCTGTCAATATATATAAAGCTGGTAGTGGCTGCTGCCAGGAAACGAAAAGATACCTCGTGCACGACAGCTAAGGTGCGCAGATGCAGGGTCTGATCATTAATTAAAAAACAACACTAGTTGACTAACGCTATAATTTCCTTACTAAATTCATAATTGCATGCTGGTCTGTCAACCCTAAAGATAGTCTCTATTCATTCGCGGTGTGTGCGTGCTGTATATTAATTATATAGAAGTGTTCGTGCGTGTGTGAGTGCTGCTCCATCTCCCTTCATTTCTCCCTCCTCGTCGCCCCTCTTCTTACCCACCCCGTTTTCCACATCCTCTACTTCTTCCCTCCTTTACATTCTTCTTTTCCCTTTATCTTTTCCCTTTATCTTTTCCCTCTTCCTATACCACCTCCTTATCCCTTCAACTCCTCCCTCCTCCACCTCTACCTTCTCCCTCCCCCTATACCTCCTCCCTCTCCCTTCAACTCATTCCTCCTCCAACTATACGTTCTTCATCCTACACCACCGAGCTAGCGCGTGCTTGCGTGCCTGTGTGTACATCACTCCTTCCTCGCTCTTTTGCCCCCCTAATCATAACACCATAAGCCATATATATATATATATGTAGTGCGTGTGTGTGCAGGTTACACGTGCGTGGCTGGCGGCATGCATGTGCACGTAACGTGCCCGTGCGTGCGTGTTGCGTACACGTGGTGCATGCTGCGTTGCGTGCGTGTGCACCGGTACACGTGCGTGGCATGAGTGTGTGCGTGCGTGTGCACGTACACTGGCGTGCGTGCGTGCGTGCATCGCTATTTACATGACATCCAGATGACTGACATAACTAAAACATGAAACATCGCTTATTACGTCAGTATCATTGAAACACACTGATTGGCTGATGAATCGTCAGATGTGGGACGACTCTTTATCTCCGCGCCGCCCGGACACACTAGGCGAGTTAAATCGGCGACAAATCGCCCGATACATATCAAACGTTTTGATCTATGCGATGAAATCGGGCGACAGAGTTCGGCGACTAAATCGGGGCGACTAAATCGGCAGCGGATGGAGTGGGGCACGACA